GTGCTGATCTTGGGCAGCACGTCTGGGGTCTTGATACGCGCATGTCAGATGACGTCGGTAAGCTTTCGGACTTCTTTTCTTTGACCCTGCTACAAGATTCATTCTTCATCTTCCAGCAGACTCGGAGACTAAGTGGCTACACTTCACCTGGCGGTGAATGTAGTGCTTATTTCTTGATTTACCCTCCTTATTAACGGAATCTAAGTGGCTACACTTCTGCTAAGTGGAAGAATTTTTAAATTTTATCTTGAGCCCCTTACATCCTTCTAGCAAGCTTTACTTGACTAAGTCCGAGGTCTCCTAACCAGTTAAACTGGTCAGCATTGATTTTCACCGCCCAGGTCACTAGTTAAACTGGTTGGTTTCGACTTCCACTGCTCAGATCACCAGTTAAACTGGTCGGCTTCACGTCAAACTGCTCGGACTTGTTCAAGACAGCGTTGCTCAAAGGATACAAGACGCTCGGGGACTAGCTGTGGGGGATATGACCCCTGGTATCCACAAGACAAGACATGGGCCGCACCATCAGAGGTGGCCCAGCCCATAAGAGCAAGACGTGCACGACACTGGTCGACGTGCACCGCAAGATATTGTATAGTACCAAATAGGATAATTTTCTTGTAACCCTACCCCTCCAGAGTATATAAGGAGATGAAGGGGTCCCCTAGTCGACATCTACATACATATCATACAATACACCAAAGACACAGGATGCAGGATATTACGTCGATCAGACGGCCCGAACCTGTCTAAATCGCTGTCTCTGCGCCTTGTGTCACCATTTAGTTCCTGATCATGCGCACCTCCACCGATCAATCTATCTTCGTGGGATACCCCTCGGAGGACTGCCGAGTATCTTTTGTCGACACTTAGCCAGAGCAACACACTAAGACATAAACCAAGTCTCTGTTAAACAACATCTCAAGAAACACAAAGATTGTAGGAAACTAAATGTAAGAAGTAAAAAGATGGAATGATGGACAAGACACAACCTGGCAAGTATATTGAGTTGTTGCCACAACCCTCTAATTCACGTTAGAGCACCTACTAAGGGTTATCTCCCTTAATATTAAGTAAAAAAGGCTTAAGACCCATTAATAGTACCAATTCACCACTTTAAATTGACGGGTCTTAAATTAAGGACAAAGTTTGAAACTTTCTAACAAGAACACCACCAATAGTGCAAATACCAGCAATATGGCTCCCTCTGTGCGCATGTAACATGACCATGGTAGTGAAGGGCAAATCAGATATTTATGGTGTGTTTGGCAATGATCTAGATTCTTGTACAAACGTTTCAGGTGATAAATCAGAATTACTTCACAAAATCGTTTGGCTGGTAGGCTTGATTCTGATAAAAAAATATTTTTAATAAAAAAGTCATATAAATAAAATATGCTTCAGACAAATATTGAACTTTTTTATGGACAAAGAACAATTTAAATACAACCGTTTTTAATTTGTTGTACTTAAAAAGGATTAAATAAAAAACGGTCTCCGATGAAAGGAGAGGTACAAACAGAATCAGTAGAAAACCGCCATGTTGCGGTTTCGAGAACTAGTGAAGGAAAAGAGAATCATTTCGGCTCCGAGTCCTACGTCCCTAGCACGGTTTGGAACTGATTCAAGCGATTCAAGTGAGAAACGGAACTGATTCACCTATCAAAAGCAGCCTTAATTGTTCCCTTTAGTCTCTTTAAGGAAGTGTAAACTGGTTGTATTCTGGAGCGAGGGAGTAGAAATATGTTCCAGCCTCAGTATGGCATTATTACATCAGCTTGTTACCCCAAACAAATTCGAGTAGAATATAGATCGGAAACCATTCTTATAAAAAAATTGAGGCGAATTTTTACAGGTCATGTTCGCTTCACTGAAAAGCCAAGCTAAAAAGTATTGTTCGCTGATTTGTTGTGAGAGAAAAACACGGTGCTATGGCTGATAATCTAGCTGGAATCAACGTTCAGAGATAAACCGAATTTACGTTTAGAACTGGATGAAACGATTTGTTTTCCACCTAGATTAAGTAGTAACTTTTGGTTGGCAAAACTGAAAGCATAGAGCATGCAAGCGATTGCAGGTCCTGTAAAGACTGCAACTGCAGCCTAACCAGAGAAGAGATTACTGTATGCAGAAGATTAGCTAAAAGGAGTAGGGGAGCACGAGGACCCAACAAAGCACTTAATGCGACAGCAACGTAGCGGGACCAGATTGTCGCTGGATATGCTCCACAGGTCCACATCAAATCCCACATTAGCGCATAATGCCCTGCACCGAACGTGACCCCACTTAATTTTTTTAATCATTTGTCTATCAAAATTACTAACTGCCAACTACAAGCAGATGAATAATAGGGACTGTTCAGGAGGAGGAATCCCAGGCTATTTTGAGATGGGAGAAGGTTAAAAATTACAAAATCACTAGCAAATTCCAACTTTTCTTGTGAAGAAATAGCCAAGTTTCTGCACCTTCTTAATCAATTAGTAAGCACATGTGCAGCAAAGCAGGACTAGATTCCTTTTTAGACAATGAAAGTAGGACTAGATTAGATTTTATTTTACTATATAAATAAAGGCTCATGTTTATTGTGAGCGGCCGGCGTGGCGAAGGGACGATGGTGGAAGGAAGTGCTACGACTACGAGGCACGATCATAGGCTTGGACGCTTGGTTACTTGCCACAGCCCACGGACAAGGTTTGGTGGAAATAGGGTTTGAGCTCATGAGTCATGAGGGGTGATGACGATGCTCGTGATAGTAGCTCCTCTCTCAAAACAGATATAGTGTCTATATCTATAGAGTGCGATGGTAGAATTTCTTGTGTAAAGTGGGTAATGAAAAAGTAAGATCCTTGACTTATGGGCGAATGATGATATATACTCCATCCATTCCCTTTTACCAGACGTGAGAGGAGTATCTACAGATACCAAGACCCCCGTAGAAACTTGAGCTTCTTATTATTTACTCTTCGTCGTGATTAGCATGTGCAGCCGTTTTTACTCCATTAAAATATAGCAGCAAGTGTATAAAAGGGCCATGCATGCAAGCGAGTCTCCGTGTTTTGAGTATGTGTAGTAATGACTAGTACCCTTGATACTCCAGCCGGTGCTTGCTATTGTCGTCAAACTGAAAAACGCTTGTACGCCTGACAAAACGGAACGGGGGGAGTATTGTTTAATGAAAAAAAAAGAGTACCATATCTGACAGGCTGAACCTGACCTGCTTCTTTTTGCAAAATAAAGGAAAAGAGAAAAAAAAATTGACCTGCTACGACAGATGTGGGACTGTAGGAGTATGGCCATAGGTTTCTAGTAATAACGGAAGACGTATGCTTCGCTCCAAATCATCCGCAAGTTTACGTACGCTGCGCCTATCAATAATATCACCTGATGGGTATGTATTCGTCCCAATTCACATGGGTTGAAGTGAATTGGAGTGGAACTAAACTAAATTCCATTAAATTTCACTCCAACACATGTGAATTGAGCTAGATATATATGCATCCAAACAAACAAGGTCTTAGAGTGACTAGAAAGCGGAGAAGAGGAAAAGCAGCGGAGATATGAACTGAGGCGGCGGCGGCGGCGGCGGGGATGAGTTCGGGCGGGAGGTGGCGCGGGCCGCGGTGGCGCAGGCGCTGGAGGCTGCAGGTTTTGACTGTGCGCCCTGTTCGGTTATCTTATTAGCTGTACTTTTTCAGTTCTTTCATAATAAATCAGCGAATAATGTTTTTCAGCTTATCTTTTCCGCGAATCGAACAGGCCGTCCTGCGCTATATCACCCACCTGGGCCGGTCCGCCGCCTTCCACGCCAACCTCGCCGGCCGCGCGCTCGCCAATGAGCTCGACGTCATCCAGGCGCTCGAGGAGGTCGGGTTGACAAGACCTAGCTAATCAACAACCACTTGCTAGTATTTTGTTGGTTTTGACATGCACTGATCAGCTATATTTGGCGGTTTTTTTGACATGCACTAGGCAGCTACTAACCTACTGCTGCCGTACTGCGTATTTTTGTTTAGTTTAGGCCACCGTGGAAATGTTAAAAATGTTGTACGCTTGTGCAAACGCAGGCCTAGACATGCACATGCACGATCTTTTTTGGGGATTGCGTTGGATCCAGTTGAATCATTACCAATTATCATCTCAGGATGGGTTTTAACGGCCCCGCTGAATTTTTTTGAAATCCACAAAGTTTGTCCAAATTTCATCGATAATTTAATAGAGCTTTCTACGATGTACGGAGTAATAAATAATAAATCTGAAGTATTTTGGATTTCTATAGGTACCTAGCATGATTTATGCTTATATTAAGTCATAAAAGACTTTTAGACCCCTTTGGAACGTGATAATTATATAGAAATTTTATAGAATTTAATTTACTTTTACAAAAAAAAACAGCGTTCCAAACGTTCCTAAGAGAAAATGTGCTCAGGAATCCAACGGTTGGAATGAGTCAATGCAAAGTAGAGTTAGAGCTTTAATTTAGTATAATACCAAAATCCACCCTAAAATTCAGGGGTATTTTGAACCCTTATCTCAAGCCATGAAACTCATGAGGTAAGCCCTTATCTCAAGCAAGATCCATCTCCAGTCAGAATGGCGTTGATTTTACATCGGTCAGCGCGGCCAACCAAAATTCCCTAAACCCGTTGAAAAAACCCAACCCATCCCGTGACCTGCTTAAACTGGATCTCCTGTTCCCTTCAAGCTTTGTACTTGCACCTGCTTTTGGTCCATTTTGCCTCACCATTGTCGTCCTACTTAGCTACCGCGTCTTGTCCACCTCCCCACCCTTTCCATCCACCCAATCCCCATACCTACTTCTAGAAAAAAAAAATAGAAGAGAGAGAGAATAAAAAACATGCCACTCATTTTGCAAGCGCCAAGCAATGTCGTAGCAGCTAGCAGCTCTATCTCCTCCTCCTTTGCCTCGCATGAACGGAAAGTGGCAGCAGTGGTCTTTACAGCAATGCGGATGCCATCATCCACGGGTGACGGGTCGGTCATCACAGGCCGAGCAGGATGTAGTAGACGAGCGTGATCGGCAGGGCGATGAGCATGCCAAAAATGACTCTGCAAGCAGCGAGCAGGAATAAAGGGTTAGCAACAGGCGCCTGCGCCAGCGGCGACTGGAGAGAATCTTTGAACAGATCTTGGTGTGTGCTCGTGTCTGTCCGTGCTGGTGTCGTGTTTTCCGACACGGGGGGACTTACGCGGTGCTGAGAATGTCAGGGTGCACGTTGTACTCCTTTGCGAAGACGAAGGGGACAATGCCCTGGGGCAGAGCTGCCTGCTCGTTCCGCCGTTTTGCAATTTGCAAAGGAAAAATCCAAAAACAAGCAGCGCACAGTGAGAATTGAGAAAGAGGGGGCAAAAAAAAGTTGACCTTTGTGCTGTCCGCCGAGGGCAAAAGGCCACGGCGAGAGAGGGAGAAAGAGGCGAGCAAGCACGAGGGGACCGGGAAAAGAAACAACAGCACAGCGATGATGCTTTGCTGTTCTGGCCGCGCGCGCGGGGGCGAGGGCGGCCGGCAAGACTTTCCCCGCTGCGTATGTGTGATATCTATCCGTCTTCCCACCCAAAGTACCTGGACGATGGCGACGTGCAGAAGCGTGCCGCGGAGGCCCACGGCGAAGGACGCGGCCGCCATAACGGCCGGACCGGTCAGGAAGCGCACCGCCATGGCGAACGTCGCCACCTTGTTGCCGCACGCGATGATCCGGGGCTGCAGCGCCATGAACAGCCCTGCACGACACCGAGACCCGGTGATTCATTCATTCTACTGTTTGATAAGTAATAGAACCAGACTGAAACCGAGGTGTAGGGTCTATCTAGGAGGAAAGTTAGGCCGCAGCTGGTACCGACCGAGACTGAACATGGCCATTCCGAGCCCCGCGTCCGACAGGATGGAGATGGATTTCAGGACGATGGCCGGCATCTGGAAGTTCCACCTGCAGGACACCAACGGATCCAACAGCGAAGCTATCAATCGGCTGCCTCGCCAGATCACCCGCTCGGGCGAGTGCCGATGCATGCATGCCGTATCGGTTGGTAGTTACTACTGGTACGGACCTGAAGCAGACGAGCGACCAGATGACGCCGATGAGGCTGGAGTAGGTGTTTGGGTTGCGGATGAGCTTGCGCCACACCATGATCAGGATGAGACGGGTCATCACGCTCGTCGGCGGCATCGCTGTCGGCGCGGCCACCGCGCTGGGGTCCCCGCCCGCCGCCGCCGCCGCCGCGGCCTTCTCGTCCCCTGCCTCCGCGTCCCTGTCCATCGCGCCCCTGTTCCCGAAGCTGAACTCGTCGCGCTCCACGTAGTCGTCCCTGTCCTTGGCTCCGCCACCGTCCACTTGGATTGGATAAAGAAACAAAGAAACGCGAGTCGAGTCGAGTGAGTACAAATTATTAGCCCGAGAAACACTCGTCGCGGCGGGAAGGATTGCTACTTTTGCGGGGGGACTTGACGGCCGCGGCGTCGTTGTAGTCCGGCGCGCCGCCGCCGAAGACGTCCGACACGGGCGACGCGCTGGAGCTCCAGACGAACATGTGGAGGTCCTCGCCCTTGGCCTGCCCGTTGGTGGCCGCCTTCTTCTTGGGCGCCGCGGCCACCGCCGGGTTGGGCGCGGGGTAGTGTCCCGCCGCCCCGGGAACGGGCGCCGCATTCACCACGGGGAGCGGGTACTTGGCGGGCTTGGACGCGTCGTCCTCGTAGTTGGACGGCCGCGGCGTGGCGCCCGTGCGGATGCCGAACGCGTCGGCCGCGCCGAAGTTGGAGCTGCGGCCGACCATGGAGTAGAAGTCGTTGTGGTTGAAGCTGGAGCCCCGGGGCGTCGGGTTCCGCGACGACTGCAGCGAGTAGATCTCGGCGTTGGTCAGGTTGCTGGGCCGCGGCGTGGTGCTGGAGAATCCCATGGAGCGTCGCGAGTAGATGTCGGAGCGCGACGCGTTGGAGCGGCGCACGGTGACGTGTATCTTGCCGTCCTCCCTGACCTCGGCCTCCGTCTCGATGGCGTCCCTCCGGCCGTCGAGGGAGACGACGTCCGGGTCGACGACGATGGAGGCGATGGCGCCCGCGTTGTCCGGGAACTGCTCCGTGATGAGCAGCCGCGCGCCGCGGTACTCGAACATGAAGAGCATGAGCGTGTACCAGATGATGCACTGGAGCACGACTATCTGCACCATGAGGCTGCCGGAGAAGTCGCCGTACATGCCCTTGAGCAGCGGGATGCCCATGACCAGCGTGTTGGGCAGCGTGGAGAGCGAGAAGAGCGTGATGGTCCACTCCAGGCTGCCCCGGCGGCTGAGGTGGCTCCACGCGGTGAGCATGGCCAGCACCATGAGCTTCTGCAGCGTGTCGGCGGCGATGAAGCGCAGGTTCATGGTGTAGGGGTTGTTGGTGGAGATGAAGTGGAAGGACAGCAGCGGCACGGCGAAGAGCGCGACGAAGCGGTTGATCCCGGAGCACTGGTCGGGGGAGAAGATGCGCCACCACCGCACCGACCCGTAAGCCAGGATCATCGCCACGTACAGCGGCACCACGGCCGTCATGACGTGGTAGAAGTCCGTCGCCGTAATCATCTTGCCTCTCCTCTTCCTCCTCCTCCTCCTCCTCCTCCTTGAAGCTCTCTCAAGCTCCCTCTCTCACCTTCTTCCTTCCAAGCGCAGTTCCGCTGGTGAGCTGAACGCCGCTCGCTACACACTCTCCGGCGGGCGACCACACTACTCCGAACCTTAGCTTTACAGCTGAGCTTAGCTGAGAGGAGCCAGTGAGCTGTTCAATTCACTCAGCCAGAGCTAGTGAGAAGGGGACTGAGCGAGAAAGAAGGAAGGAGGAGGTGCTCGCTGCTCCGCGCGGTGGTGGGTGTGCGCAGCGTGGGAGTGTGCTTTATTTAGGCGGGCGAGGTGGCAGCGCGGCCCAAGCTTTGTTTGGACCATCCCTTGTTTGCTTCCTTCCTTGCTTTTTAAGTATCATCATCATCTAAACAACGGTGCGCTGTGAGCGAGTGGCCCGTTCGTTTCGTCGCTGATTCGTGAAAAAATATCACTGGCTGATTTATACGAGAGAAAAAAACTATTCTGAATTTACAATCGTTTACGAAGAGCCTAAGCCAAACGAAAAGCTGAGGGTTGCTTGGTGCGTGTAGGGTGGAGCACGCTTAGACAGCCGAGGGAGGGAGCTTGCCGGGGCCACCGCGCTGCGTGCTGCGTGCAGTGCGGAGGGGGTGGCCGTATGCGTGCGCCGATCCCCATTATTATATTATTATACGTACGCTGGGCTAGCTTTGATCAGAGATACATGTACGTACACTTCAAGGGCAGGACAAAAGATTCAGGAGGTCGGCTGATAATGTATTGTACCACCCCATGCTGTGCTTTTGGTACCGCATTACATGCGACTAGTAAATTGTAGTATACGGACATACGGTAGAGTATCATATATACAACTATAGTACATGCGCCGTATGTACGTGCAGAAAGGCGTGGCAGTACATATAGATTTAGGGCAGTATATTATTAAACTGAAATCCGGAGTTATACGAGCTGACAGCTGAGCTATACGTTTGGTCGAACTGGGGTGATAATGGAGGCAGTAGTCACTGCCTTGGAGTACGTCGGTTACTTGTCGTTGCCAAGGTTGCTTTGCCAGTGTTCAGGAGCGTGAAAACTGGAACGCGCATTCCTTCTCTCCTTTTAGACGTGAGGTCCAGGAACGTTGCTTACTGTAGTACTGCGTTTCAAAGGAACGGTGCTCATTTGGGGAGCAGTTACTGTAGCCCCCCCCCAAAGTGAAAGCCTGAAAGCAAACGACTGGACGTGGGCTCGATCCTGGATGGCGGCTGTCCGAACGGAATGGGGGTAGGCAGTAGTGACGTGTCAGCCCCGGGTCCGTCGCCTTCCTTCCTCCGCCAATTATCGTGCCATCCGTAACAGAATCCGGAAAAAGGGCCGCCAGAAATTACCACAAATGTCCAGCAGTCCCGGGATTAAAGACTAAGGCCCCGTTTGGCAGGGCTTCACTTCACTAGTGAAGCCATTTTTTTGGCTTCAGCTCCACGAACAGCTCCACCGGTGGAGCTAAAGCGGTTTTGGTAAACCGTTTGGCAAAATGGCTTCTCTGTGAGAGCATGTTTTTAGGGGCCTGGAGGAGGAGCCGGGAAAAGCCACTATTTTTGGCTCCTTCCCACCCTAAAGCTCTGTGAGAGCACGTTTTTAGGGGCTTCATCGGTGGAGCCGTTTCATTTTACCCCGTTTGGCAGAAAACGGCTCCAAACGGCTCCTGAAGCCGCTGGAGAAGCCCTGCCAAACGGGGCCTAAAGAGTGGCATCATCAACGGACGAAGAATCTGCTAGGGGTAGGCAAAAGGCTGCGCGCCGGCGTAGCTACGAATATTCCTCGGAAAAGTTATACGTAAATCGTATGATTTATTTGCCACCGTCGACCGAATTTTTTAGCATTGGATCTGACTCCGGCCCCAGAGCTGCCGCCCGATCTACACCTGCGTCACGCCGCCCCCGCCCTTCGAGCGTTGGATTTGATCGATCACGTTTTGTCTCGTCTCTGGGTGGACTCGCAGATGCCACAGCACGTGTGCAGCCCGGGGTACGGCCCGTGCGTCGGCCTCCCCGCCGCGACCTCGTCAGCGATGATGATAAAGCAGCTGCAGCAACTTATGCCGACGCAGCCACCGTAGTAGCAGCAGCGACAACAGATGTGATAGTACCATATCTCGCAGCAGCCGAGGCCGGACGCTACGCCTTCCCCGGTGGCGGCAGCGTGGCACGACATTTCGAATTTTTGTGAAGATTTTGTATTTTTTTTAAAATTTGTGAAGAATTTGTGAATAATTTGACATATATTTATTTGATGTCTGGAATCCATAGAAATAATTTATATTTTTTTTTGAAAATTTTGACATATATTTATGTTATTCCTAACTTACATCACTCTGTCCAATAAATTACATTGAAAAAATTATTGTAAATATAGTAATAAGACTGTGTAAATATATGTAGAAGATGATGTAAGTGTATAAAAAAATTCAGTTAGACAGAAGAGACCAACACAACTACCGAATGTCACATAGACATATCCATATTCCTGGAACGGCAGCTTTTCAGCTCTCTCAGTCACAGGTCCGTATCGCGATCCGTGATGAGGCGACCATCATTTCTTTCATCCTCCTCTTTGCGCCACCGCAGTGGATGGAAGTTGAAGTCAACCGAGATCTCAAGTGCGTGAAACCTGCCTGTACGTACAGAGAATATATTTCTACTAGCGGCGGTCTGGCACTCACTGGCAGTGAGGTGAAATGCGAAATGACCATCGCCCTGATAAATCGTGGCTGAAAATAACGTTGACTGATTTGTTGTGAGAGAAAAATATTATTCGTTAATTAAAAAAATACTACTTATAAGCTAAATAAACAGGACGCATGAAGAGATGGCGCTCCGATAACAGAAAGTCTGAAATATTCTTAACCCCGTACCCGATCCATCGTACCAGTAGATCCTAAGCGAGTACAGTAGTACTGGTACTTATTTCATAATTTTATCATCCGAATGTCTGAGACGACCCACACCACACATGCCGACCTGCCGTTCCAAGCTCGCAAACGCGAAATTCTTTACATCACACGGCGACCAAACCCCACGTCGGGAGGAAGAAACACACGAGTCCAAAGCGACAAATTGCCCACAAACTTGCTCCATTTCGGCGTCGGAATCCGCGCGTTGGACAGCGAGCAGAGGACCGTATTTTAACAGCGCTAGCTGTAGCAGTAGCAGTAGCAGTAGCAGTAGCAGTAGCAGTAGCAGTAGCAGCGGATCGTAAAAAATGGCAGGGGACATGAGGATGGATGGGGAGTAGCGCGGATTAGAAAACGAGGAAGAGAGGAGAGCAAAGTTTGTTTCCTGGCCTGCTGCAGGTTTATTGGCCCGCGCCGTGATCTTGATCGCCTCCTGTACTCTCGCACACCAAGCACCTAAAGAAAGCGATCGATTCCTCATCTTTTCGGCGACGCTGGCTTTGCATAATCCGAGCATGAATAACGTTCTTTTCATAGCCATTGATCGATCCCGAGTTGCAGATGGCGAGGACTAGACTGGTACATACAGAGACGTACCGTATACGGCATACTCCTGTATCGCACTAGACTGGTCCGGCGGCTTTGACCCCTTGATCGAATCACACACAAAAATTGGGCCCTGTCCAACACATGCATGGCTGATGGCTCACTTGTTAGTTGTTAGAACACCTTACGTGGCTCGTCACTGGTCCAGTGGTTCATCAATTATGCCGTGCGTTACGTACCGATCCTAACTCCTTAGTGTGATGAATGCGTGCACATGCATGGTTCGTCTATGCCTGGGTTTAACGGTAGCAAGGGAGGAAGAAACGACGAGGAGCAGAACGGCAAAGTGCACCTTAACATACCCACAAAAGCTGCTTCTGTGTCAGAATTTTTATTCGGATACTAGGCCTTGTTTAGTTTACATCAAAATTCCAAGTTTTTTCACTCTCTCTCCATCACATCAATTTTTGGACGCTTGCATGGAGTATTAAATATAGGTAAAAAAAAAAACTAATTACACAGTTTAGTTGAAAATCACGAGATGAATCTTTTGAGCCTAGTTGGTCCACGATTAGACAATATTTACCAAATAAGACGAAAGTGCTACTATTCATCGGGTTGAAATTATTCACAATCTAAACAAGGCCCTACTGTCTATCTATAAAAATCTCAATTGTGCTACCTTTCACCCTGTCCCTTTGCTGTGCGGGCGAATAACTTTGGAGAAATTCCGCGGCCTTGCCCATGCCCCACCACCCGCGCTTACGTGCCGCTGCAAAAGATGCTTAAGCGTGCGTGTTATCATTTTTCAAGTACCTGTGACCCCCCTACTTACCCAGCTAATCCAAGCACGGCTCTTGTGCTATGCTCGCCGGTGAATCACTGTAAAGTGCCCTCTGACAGTATCGTTTGCATGCTCCCATATGTGAGCCACTACGCCATAACGACGGATAAACAATTGAGAAGGAAAGGGAGGCAAACCGCAATACTAGAATGCATGGTTGTAGGGTGCCGCCATCTACTAGGCTCGTGGCACATCGCCACCGATCCATGAAACTGGGGATTTGGCTGCCAAGGCAGGGGAAATTCCTCCAAGATTAGCTCGCTCCCTGGCCTGTTTCCCGGAAGGAAATTGTGAGGTGTTTTAAAACTCGATTAGAATAAATCGAAAAGCCTTCTTGGGGCATGAGCTGGATTCTCTATTTAGGTGGCTGAAGCGGAAAACCGTGCCCTGCGCATTCCTATCCCCTCGTGTCCGCATACCCCGTTCTGTAGAAGATCCGAGTGGAGTGGAGTGGAGCCGTAGGCGAGTAGCCATAGTCCGTAGATGATAGCTAGGGTGCAGTAGCACGAGGGAACGCCAGAACTGGAGCAAGCGAGATGCGACTGAAGCAAAGCGCGTCCGTCCACGATGGAGTCAACCACCCCATGCCGCCTTCCCCTTCCTGGGCACCGTTTCTTGTGCGGCGAGGGGGAG